CTAAAAAGAACATACTTATAATTAAAAAGTGGGGCTGGAGAGATGTCTCAGTGGTTAAGAGCACTGACTCTTCTTGCAGAGGACCCGGGTTTGATTCCCAGCACCCACATGGAGGCTAACAACCATCTGTAACTCCAGTTCCAGGAGGTCTGATGCCCTCTTCTGACCTCTGTGGGCATGCCATGCCATGAGTGCACTCGTACTTATGCAGACAACACTCTCATACACATAAAAAAAATAAAAATAATAAATTTAAAAAAAAATTTAAAGTATGCATCTGTCTGAAATTGAGTCTAACCAAGCACCTGTATTTTATCTGGGAACTTGACCTAGTTATTAGTTACAGGAGCACGTGTCAGGAACATTTTATTCTGAATGACAGACAGAAACTACTATACAAGGACAGACTGACTGAATAGGAGCTGGAACAAGGACAGACTGAACTAATGAAAGCGACCAGAAATGAGAATATAGAGTCAATTAGTGAGCGCAGCCCGTTAGTGAGCACAGCCAGTTAGTGAACACTACCCGTTAGTGAGCACAGCCAGTGAGTGAGCACAGCCAGTTAGTGAACACTGCCCATTAGTGAGCACAATTAGTGAGCACAGCCAGTGAGTGAGCACTTCCAATGAGTGAACACTGCCTGTTAGTGAGCACAGCCAGTTAATGAGCATAGCCTGTTAGTGAGCACAGCCTATGAGTGAGCACAGCCAGTTAGTGAGCACTGCCCGTAAGCACAGTGAGCATTGCCAGTAAGTGAGCACAGCCAGTTAGTGAGCACTGCCCGTTAGTGAGCACTGCCTGTTAGTGAGCACAGTGTTAGTGAGCACAGCCCATTAGTGAGCAAGCCAGTTAGTGAGCACAGCCAGTGAGTGAGCATTGCCCATTAGTGAGCACTACCTGTTAGTGAGCACACCCAGTTAGTGAGCACAGCCAGTGAGTGAGCACTGCCCGTTAGTGAGCACTACCTGTTAGTGAGCACACCCAGTTAGTGAGCACAGCCAGTGAGTGAGCACTGCCCGTTAGTGAGCACTACCTGTTAGTGAGCACACCCAGTTAGTGAGCACAGCCAGTGAGTGAGCACTGCCCGTTAGTGAGCACTACCTGTTAGTGAGCACACCCAGTTAGTGAGCACAGCCAGTTAGTGAGCACAGTTACTTAGTGAGCACCGCCAGTGAGTGAGCACTGTCCATTAGTGAGGATTGCCCATTAATGAGGATTGCCTGTTAATGAGTACAGCCCGTTAGTGAGCACTGCCCATTAGCGAGCACCGCCCATTAGTGAGCACAGGTGTGCTGGTGTGGGGCCGCTCCCCTCACATCTCTGTGACATCTCTTAGGAAAGTGTCCCTTACCAGCCTCAATGGCTTTGCAACTCGTGTTTGTGAATCCGAGGTTTCCCCACGTGCTGGCTGCCATACTTCACAGCAAGGCCTAGCTCCTTGCTTGCCCCTCCAGAAGGGAAGGCATACATCACACGTGTTGCTCACACAGTAGATGTTTATCATTTAAGGAATAAAATAATAAGAGAATGATGCAAGCAGCCCAGATGTGCACCACTGGGCCCAGCAACAGGCTCAGCTTGGTGAGATGATGACCCACAGATCTTGGTTTGCTGACTGGAGAGTAATAGAGGTAAGATAAGGTCCAATCATGGTGTATTTTCCTTATCTTGCAAAGAGTTCAGTGTTAAGCTGTTAAACATAGGGAGATCTGACAGTCTTTGATCATGGGCCTGAAGTGCTGTGGGTTGGGAACATGTGTTGGTATCACACATGAATGGAGAAGGTTGAGGATGCAGACCAATGATTCCAGGCGTGAGAAAGGAGACTGAAGTGGGTGGCAGCATGAAAGGGGAATTGGGCATCATGAAGATGCTGATTAGGACGAAATCAACAGAACACCAGGAGGAATGTGTTTTTATATGGAGAGCCTCACAACACCTGACCTTGAGGCAATAGTGGTAAACAAAAAGATCAAAGAAGCCTTGAAGTATCTGACCCTCCTTGACCCTCAGATACAGGTGGGGAAAAAAGCTGTTGAAACTAATTGAGTTCTGTACAAAAAGGCAGAGGTGAAATAAACAGGGGCTGCAGTCACCTCTGTTAGCCCTCCCAAGTATCTTTTCTGTCTCTTGTTCTTTCATTCAATCCTCACTCCCCCTTTCAGGTACTGTCCGTCTTGGCCGGCCGGCACCGGCAAGTAATGAAGAAGCACTGTGGAGGAGGAAAAGGACTATATCTTAACAGGGCTCTGTGAGTCACCTAGGAAGAGACATAAGACATGGGCCTGGAAAAGCATCATGGAGATATCAGATGATGTCAGCTGTGGAGCCCAAGTCCTGTGGTGAGTGTATTAGTTACAGCTTTCATCATTGTGACAAATACCTGACAGAAACAACTTGAGAGAGGAAAGATTTATTTTGGCTCAGATTCTCAGAAGTTTGAGTCCACCGAAGTGGAAAAGGCAGTGCAAAGTGGCTCTGTGGCAGGGGAGGATGTCTGTTCACATCATGGTGGACCAAGCAGCAGAGAGAGCACTGAAACCTTCAAAGGCCCACCCCTACTGACTTACCTCCCCCAGCTTGGCCCCACCTCCTAGTGGTTCCACAGCCTCCCCAGATAGCACCACCAGCTGGGGAACAAGCCTTCAAACACTTCTGATTCTGAATGGGGTATTTCAGATTCAAACCGTAGTAGTGAAAACAAGCAATGGGAAAATCATTAAGGAAATGGGGGACCTGAGCAGGGCTACAAACAAACAGGACCAAACAGACACACATGGAGCACTCCACCTCGCTGCCGCTGAGCACAGTGTACTTCCTGCCTTTCTTCAAGTACACCAGGAATGTTCTCTGCAGCAGAATACATGTTAGGATACAGAACTACTTTAATGAAATTATTAGATTGGAATCATACCAAGTACATTTCCTGGTGTATGGGTTGCCTCCTGTGATAGACGGGGCTTTGTCAATGTGATTAAAGGTCTCAAATTGAGATTGTTAGGGGTCATCTGGGGGCCTGATGCAATTACAGGATCCCTAGAAGACAAGGAGAAGGCACAGCCAGACTAGCTGTAAGAGTAACCTTCACATGTCACCAAGTGACTTTTGACAAGGGCGCCAAAACTAGTCAGTGGGGAGAGGACAGTGCTGTCAGCAAGTGGTGCTAGGAAAACTAAGAACCTGTATACAAAAAGAATGATGTTGGATGCATACCCAACCCATACAAAACCTAACTCAAGTTGTGCATGGTGATCATACCTACCTGTAATCCCAGCACTCAGGAGGCTAAGGTTGGATCTCAACATCAACAACAGCCTGGGCTACATAGTGAAACCCAGTCTCAAATACACAAAGAAAACCAAACACAAATAAAAGCTAACTCAAAACGTATCAAAGATCTAAATTAAGAGTTAAAGTGATAGAGGTTGAAGTGACCAAACGAGTATATGGAAGATCTCAGTATCACTAATCAGGAGAGAAATCTGACTTCAAACCACACTGAGATACCACTTCACCTCCGTCTGGATACTTATTACTTTAAAAAAAAAAGTAAGAATGTGGAGAAACTAGGACCTTTATGCATTTACATAATAAAAGTGTAAACTGGTACAGTGGCTCTGAAAAATATGGAGGTTCCTTTAAAAACTGAAGGATAGGGGTTGGTCGGGCATGGTGGCACACACCTTTGAGCCCAGTGCTTGGGAGGCAGAGACAGGTGGATCTCTGTGAGTTCGAGTCCAGCCTGGTCTACATAGTGAGTTCCAGACCAGCTGGGGCTACAAGAAACCGTGTCGCAAAAAACAAACAAATAGGTGCTAGAGAGATGGCTCAGCGGTTAAGAGCACTGACTGTTCTTGCAGAAGACCCAGGTTCGAATCCCAGCATCCACATGGCACCTAACAACTGTCTGTAACTCTAGTTCCAGAGGATCCAATAGTCTCTTCTGACCTCTGCAGGCATTGCACAACATGGGTACATTTACCGACATGCAGGCAATACATGCTTACACATAAAAATAATATTTTTTAAAAAACAAACAGTACATGCACTGACCTTAGAGGATCTGAGTTCAATCCCCAGCACACATGTCAAGCAGTTTATAATCACTTGTAACTTCAGTTCCAGAGGGATCTGAAGTGTCTAGTCTCTTTGAGCACCCGCCCTCATGTGTACATACCTACACATATATATTTATATATATTTTATTTTTAATATTTTTAATTACGTGTGTGTGTGTGTGTGACTGTGTGGCTATGTACACATGGGTTGCAGGTGCCAGCGGAGGTCAAAGGTGTCAGATCCCCACTGAAGTTACAGGTGGTTATGAGCTGCCTGACATGGGTGCTGTGAACCAAACTTGGGTCCTCGAAGCAGTACACACTCTTAACCTCTAAGCTACTCTCTCCAGTCCCTTGGCCTTTTTATCTTACAGAAGTTGCTTGTTTTCCTTATCTTCTGGTTCTTTCCTTCATTTTCTAAACCTATCCTTCTGTACACTCAGCTTCTGTCACAGTCCCTTGTCTGGTGGTACCTTCTTGTTTCGCTCACTGGGATCCTGTGATTGCATCAGGCCCCCAGATGATCCTAGACAATCTCATTTTGACCCTTATTTTAATCCCATTGACAGAGCTCCCTCTGCCACAGAAGATGACCCATGCATAGATTCCAAAAACTGGACAAGAGCAGTCAGCCTGCCACGATAACCAAGACGAAGAACACATGCAAGCAGGCTAGCCCAGTCCAGGCAGAGGTAGAGAGGAGCTCTGGCATCTGTGGCAGGCCAAGGGTCAAGGGCAGGGCCCACGAGGTGCTGCAATAAAGAGCACACAGAGTAAACCCCTCTTGGACACCAGGCCGTAAGCCAAGTCTGACTCACAGGATAACCAAGGTCTAAGTGAAACTCAGGATCCTGGGTTTGGGCTGCCAGAGCAGTGAACCCTGGCCCACACTACAGAGCACAGAATGGCATCTGACACCAGAAGAGTCCAACACGAAGACAACTGGCAAGTGAGATTTATTGAAACAATGATAAGTAACAGGAACAGGATCTGGTATAACCATCAAGGTCAGGGTGTAGTATGAGGCCTACCCATCCCTCAGGACGCCCAGGGCATCTTCTTGGCTACAGACTTCAGCTTCCGTCTACACACAAGCCTTCAACAGATTAATAGGTTATCTCCTTCAAACCTACAAGGAAGAAACACAGATGCTGTTCAAGACACTAACAGCACAGAGAGAAATGAGGGGAGGATCTGACACTGCTGCGTGCCACATGCTGGCCTGGGCAGTGTCTCACTGCTGCACCTCTGCACTCTTGCTATGAAACAAGGCTTTACCAGGAAGCAGGTCAGGCCAATATTTGTTTATGAGAGGTTTAAAATGGATTAAGAAAGCTTTACAACAATTTATGGGCTCTCAGCAGAAAATGAAAATGACCAAAATCTAGCTGTTAACTGCTGAACTTTGAGCGAATGCAGAGATGGCTCTTCACCATGCACTGACACAACAGCCTGTGCATCTGGGCAGAGGGTGGGGACCAAAGAAGCCTCTGGCATTAAAATGTTCACTGTACCAAACTGGGCGTGGTGGTACACACCTGTAAACCCAAGACTTAGGAGGCTTAGGCAAGAGGATCAAAGATTTGCAATTAGCCTGGGCTAAAGCATGAGACTATCCTATTCTCAAAACACCAAAATGTAAAATTAAAAAAAGAAAAGCAATTCAACACACCCTGATCCCGTGTCTTTGTAAGAAACAACATTTACTTAAAAAGCATTAGAGCCAGGCGTGGTGGCACACGCCTTTAATCCCAGCACTAGGGAGGCAGAGGCAGGTGGATCTCTTTGAGTTCAAGGCCAGTCTGGTCTACATAGTGAGTACCAGGACAGCTGGGGCTACAGGACGACCCTGTCTCAAAAAGACCAAAAACAAGCATTAGAAACCTGTATTTCTAAAATAATAGGAAAGTTAAGTACATTCAGATACAGTCTTGTGATAGAATTTAATAAACTCATTAAAATTATGTTCACTGAGAAGTTTTAGTAGCAAGGAGAAAATGCTTACATCACAAGATTAAACTGAAAAAAATTACGAGTCAAAGTTACATGCATAGGTGACTTCAACTCTGCTGAAAATAAGACAAGGCCCTGGGGCACAGCCTAGAAAGGCCTGGACTCTTGTCTCAAAACAAAATGAGAGAAAGGAGAACAATTTCCGTAAATAGTCCCCCTAGGAACAAAAGAGATGAAAACATTACTAGCGGTTATTTCTGAATAACAGACACACAGGTGAATGTTCTTTGCTATATTTTTTTAAGTTTCTAAATTTCAAACCAGAAGTTATTTTGTAATTAGTAAGGGTTCCAATATAAAAACATAGGAATAAATGGGTTTTGATGAAAATCCAAGTTGGGAGGATTTTGTGTGCTGAACTTCACGGGTACATAAATTAATGAGCAAATGGAATGAGACGCCCAGGCTAGAACAGCCTCCCTCAGGTCTGTCCTATGTCCTTCAGGAATGGAGGGCAGCTCTCCACAGACCTGGGATCTGATGTGGTCTTGCTGGCTAGGCTGCCCAAGCTACAGCCAACCCCTGGAGAGCAAGAACAACTGCGGGCAGGAGTAAGAAGTGGGATCTAAACCAAGGGATCTGTGTCGGGCCTTGTCTGCCCCACCCAGAGAACCGCACCTGAATCCCTGAGATAAGAAGGGGAAATCCCTCTGGAAGCTGTGTGGATCTGTTACAGATGAAATCATCTAAGTATCTGACATCTAGTAAACCTGTCAGGAGCTGGTGGAAAAGGCAAATCTGATGATTTTTATTAGGAGTATTACTCTAAACCCTCAAGGTCTTCAACCTTAACTACAGAAATCTCATGACAGGCCTGACAAGGGCTGCATACTTGTTTAGGGATTTGTGGCTTTAACTAGTCCTCCTGAATTCTGTGCTATAAAAACTTGGAAGAGGGATCCATGAATTCTGAGACATGCTGAAGACATGAATATTATTTCTCTAGCTCTCTGAACCTAAGTTCCAAGTACATCCTTCATTCTTTGGAGAAGTTTCCCCTGCTGCTGGTCCAAATAGCAGCACAGTCTCGTACCCAGATCCTGGCCTCCTCGGGTCGCCCAGCACAAGCAGTAATGCTGCATGAGCTGCTCCAGAAGCTCCAATTCATCCAGAAACTCGAGGGATTCTATTCTGTGCAGAAATCAAAACAGGAAAAATGTACATTTATACAATTAAAATGAAGGTGATGACCCATAGGTATCACATGCTCATGACATATTACACGGAAAGAAATCAGGTACAAAATAGTACATATGGTATGGTTAAAAAGAAGTAAAGAGAGAGATGTGGGGGCTGGAGAGATGGCTAAGAACACTGGTTGTTCTTGCAGAAGACCCGGGTTTGAATCCCAGCACCCACATGGCAGCTAACAACTGTCTGTAACTCCAGTTCCAGGGGATCCGACGGCCTCTTCTGTCCTCCACGGGCATTGCATGACACGGCTGCACTTAACCTACATGCAGGCAATACACTCATACACATAAAATAAAAATAATGAATTTTTAAAAAAAGAGTGATGTGGAGAGATGGCTCACTAGTTGAGGGCACTGGCTGCCCTTCCAGAGAGTTCCGTTCCCAGCACCCACATGGCAGCTGACCATTCATAACTCCAGTTCCAGGGAATCTGATGCCTTCTTCTGACCTTTGTGGACATTCCATACATAGGTGCACTTACATACATTCAGGCAAAACAGTCATACACATAAAATTAAAATCAATAAATAAATTTTTAAAAGAATACAAAAATGAGGCTGGGCGTGGTGGCACACACCTTTAGTCCCAGCATTCGGGGGGCAGGGGCAGGTGGATCTCTGTGCGTTCAAGGCCAGCCTGGTCTACATAGCGAGTTCCAGGCAAGCTGGGGCAACAGGGAGAGCCTGTCTCAAAAAGAGGAAAACAAAAAAACAAACAAAAAAAACCATGATGTACTTTAAGTTTTAAATAGGAAGCATGACTCTAAAACCAGTACGTATAGTATGAATCCACTGATTCAGAAACCAGAAGTCTATGTATCAAAAAATATTTATCTGTGTACAGGCACAGGAAGAGAATATGCCCCAACTATCTGCAGTGTACCTACAGAGCAGAAAACTATTCTTCATGCCCTTGGCATAGCTGGAAATAGGTTTTGTTGTTGTTTTTTAAATTTTATTATTTTTATGTGTATGCGTGTACTGCCTGCATGTAGGTAAAATAAATGCACCAGTGTCATGCAATGCCCTCAGAGGACAGAAGAGATTGTCGGATCCCCTGGAACTGGAGTTACGGACAGTTGTTAACTGCCATGTGGGTGCTGGGAATCAAACCTGGGTCCTCTGCAAGAACAACCAGTGTTCTTAATGCTGAGCCATCTCTCTAGCCCTTGGAAATAGTTTTAGAAAAATGGATATATCTATCTTTCTTTTTAAAAAAATTTTTTTTTCGGTCTTTTTGAGACAGGGTTTCCCTGTAGCCCCAGCTGTTCTGGAACTCACTATGTAGACCAGGCTGGACTTGAAGTCACAGAGATCCGCCTGCCTCTGTCTCCCGAGTGCTGGGATTAAAGGTGTGCACCACTACGCCTGGCAATATATTTTATTTATTATTTTTATGTGTATGAGTGTATCGCCTGCACGTATGTGAGTGCACCCGTGTCATGCAATGCCACAGAGGTCAGAAGAGGACTTCGGATTCCCCTTAAACTTATTTTTTTTTATTTTATGTGTATGAATGTTACACCTGCATGTGTGTAAGTGCACTGGTATTGTGCAGTGCCCACCGAGGACAGAAGAGGGAATTGGTTCCCCTGGAACTGGAGTTACTGACAGTTGTTAGCTGCCATGTGGGTGCTGAGATTTGAATCCAGGTCTTCTTCAAGAACAAGTCAGTATTCTTAACTGCTGAGCCATCTCTCCAGTCCCATATCTTTCTTTTACAGTAAAGGGAAAATCCATTAAAAAATCTGCCATCAGAGATTTTCCCTTAGAAATCTTGGACAGAATCATTTTCTTCCCTTTCCAAGATCGGGATTCTACAACACTTCCACTGTGGAGGTGGCTCTGTGATTTTTCCAGGTGTAACTGCTTATTTCAGCTCAAATCATCTGCTCTGGCAAAGGCACTATCTTGGTTAGTAGCTAATGAGTTACTTTCTCAGGCTGTTATCAAGGTTTAACATATTTCAAAATAAGTCTGGTTAAGGTTTTGCTTTGTGCTTCACGTTAAAGAATACAAGTACTCATGCCTCTGTTCCCCAGTTAGGAGGGAGCTGGTTTGCCAGTCACGTACCTGTTCACCTCTGCTCTCGGTAGTGTGCTGTACAGCTCCATCATGTTCACTGCTGACGCCATCTCCCACCCGTTCAACAACAGCCGTTCTTTCTAAAAGAGCAGCAGAGAGACAGAGCTACAGGGCCCCAGCATACAAACCTGAGACCCTAAGACACACAGGATTTCGCTGAGCTCAGTCCCAGGTGAAAAGCCCAGGTCTGATCCCCTTTATCTTTCTTATTTTCATTTTCCAAGTTTCTATATGAACATGCATTCTTTTCATGGGGGAAAACTTGATTAGAGAATATTTAAAGAGACACAAAGGGAAAAAAAATTTTTTTCCCCTTTGGTGTTTTTGAGACAAGGGTCTCCCTGTAGCCCCAGCTGTCCTGAAACTCTCTATGTAGACCAGGCTGGCCTCGAACTCACAGAGATCTGCCTGCCTCTGCCTCCCGAGTGCTGGGATTAAAGGCGTGTGCCACCATGCCTTTTTTAAACAATATTTTATAAACAATAATCTTTGTTTGTTTGGCTGGCTGGCTGCCTGGTTTGAGACAGTCTTGCCATGTAGTCCCAGCTGATCTGGAGCTTGCTAGTTCAGGCTGGCCTTGAACTTGTGATTGTCCTGCCTCAGCCTGCCAAGCGGGGGCATTACAGGTGGGACCTACTGGATTCAGCTTGAGTAACATGCCAGTTAGTGGTTGTGGGAGGGCTCTCCAGCAAATAAGTGACTTTTTTTAAAGGAAGGGGACTACCACAGACTGAAAGAGCTACAAGAGCTTTATCAATCACCTATAGAGCATGGATAGATGGACACCAATTTAAACAAAGTATAAAATATGGTTTCAAACAACTGGGGAAAATGAACCTGGTCTGGGTATGAGATGCTATAAAGGAGTTACTACTGATCTGTGAGGCGTGCTAATGGGAACACATCCTGAGAGGATGTCCCTAGGAGGATCACACTGAAGTATTTAGGGTGAAACCATGTGCTGTCTGGTATATGGCTGAAAATATTCTGATAACACCACAAAAACATTTGAGGGGAATCATGAAGCATTACCAACGGAATAGCGACAACAGTGAAGCTGGCTGATGGGTGTTTACTGTACTATTCTACTTTTATGCTTGTTTAAAATTCTTTATAATACAAACTAAACTGTGCATAAAAATAAAATTTGCATAATGAAAATAGGCTGTAGAGAATGATAGTTGTGTTTTCCACACCAAGGGGGACAGGCAGGACTTAGGTTTTCCCAGCGTCCAAGAGCCCCCACTACCTTGTTGCATCCTGCAAGGGGAGTGCCCCTTCCTTGCTGGCTAAGGTATAAGTAGATGCCCAGTGTCTGCTCTGACCTGTGACTCTAAGGACTTGCAGATTTCCACACCCGCCAGGTCACACTGTCGTCTCCGGAGGTTTTCAATCATGACTTGTCCAAACCGGTCATCCATGTTCACCTTGGAAGGGAAAAGGCTGGTTAGAGATCTGTGTCCTACAGAAGCAGAATAAAATGTCTTATTTTTAATCAGTCAAAGCTGATGCTTGGTAATATACACGGGGCAGGTACAGGAAGGTTGAACACCAGCTTAGTGTGATAGGGACTAGCTGGTACCACCCCTCAAAGGGCACCTGGGCAGTACACACCCGTTTACATGCGAAGTTGTGATACAACAATTCTACCAATGGCAGTTTATTCTACAGGTAAGTTTGCATGTGTATGCAGAGATGCAAGAATCTCCTGCATCATTATGGGAAACTGGAAGAATATGGAAATAAATATCTAATATTTAGATTCAATCAATTCTATTATCTTCATATAATAACTATATACCCATGAAAGCAGGAAAGAAAACTACAGATAAAGGGATGGAATGACTTTTAGATAAACTCACAAGCAGTAAGATACAAGGCTGCCACGCTGGCTCAGTGAGTTAAAGGCACTTGCTGCCGAGCTGATCACCTGAGTTCAATCCCTGGGATCCACATGGTAAAAAGAGAATTGACTCCCACAGCTTGTACACACACACACACACACACACACACACACACACACAATTGACTTCCACTGCTTGTCCTCACACACACACACAGAATTGATTCCCAAAGCTTGTCTTCTCACACACACACACTCTCACACACACACACACACACACACACACACACACACCTATGGCACGCCTGTGCAGAACATACACTAAATAAATGTTAAAAAAATAAAAATAAAAATTGGGGGGCTGGAGAGATGGGTCAGTGGTTAAGAGCACTGACTGCTCTTGCAGAGGACCCAGGTTTGATTCCCAGCACCCACATGGATGGTGGCTACGAACCATCCTTAACTCCACTTCCAGGGGAATCCAAAGCCCTCTTCTGACTTCTGTGGCACTGCACTCACATACATGCAGGCAATACACTCATACACATAAAATAAAAATAAAAAATAAAAAAATTTAAAGAAGCAAGGTTTAGAGGAATGTGAACAGAATGCCCCCATCTGCCTTCAAGAGGAGAAAAAAAAACTCTGTTTACATAGAACAAATCTAGACTACCACAAGCAGCACTGTTTCCCAGGTCAAAGGATGAAGATCTAGGGTAGGAGAGATTACTTTTCTTGTATAACCTTTCATATTGCTTGATTTTCATTCTGTTTTGGAGACAGGCTCTCACTATACAGGCTAGGTAGGCCTTGAACTCCTGTTCCCTGCCTCAGTGTCCTCAGTGCTAGCATTACAGGCACACACCACATTCAGATTTGTTTTCTATTCTGCATATGGTTGTAGTGCTAAAAAATAGTTCTAAAAACACAATTAACTTATATATATGCACTAATGCCAGAAAACACGGTATTACTATAGAGTATCAGAGCGTGGGCACAATCACTGCATCACATACAAGGTGACATAAAGACATCAGGTTAACAGTACAGAAGGTTGGTCCTGGAGCCCACAGTACAACACAGGCAGACCAGCAGGAATGCTATTCCCCTTCAGTAGGTACTAACAACCACACTGTGCCCAAGTGGCTACAAAGAAGTGTCTGAGAGCATACCCTTTGTTAGCTTATTGCCTAGGTTTGAATCCTGGTTTAACAGCAGTTGAAAAACCCTGGGCAAGCTGGCTGACTTAACTGTCTGTGACTGACCAGATGGACTGCTTCAATGACAAAGCCAGCTAATGCAAAGAAAACTCTCACCACATTGCCTGTCATGGAGTGTGTGAGAGCTAAGTATTTGGTGTCATTACCTAATTACCAACATGGCTTTGTCATTTTAAACAATGTTTTTTTGTTTTTGTTTTTTTTTAAAAAAAAAAAAAAGCTCATAAGGCTGAGCATGGTGGCACACACACCTTTAATCCCAGCACTTGGGAGGCAGAGTTTAAGGCCAACCTGGTCTACCTAGTGAGTTCCAGGCCAACTGGGGCTACAGGAAGAACCCATCCCAAAAAAGCAAAAAAAAAAAGCACATAAGGACTGATGGTCCAATGGTTAAGAGCACCCATGTGGCACCTGTAACTCTAGTTCCAGGGAAATCCAACACCCTCTTCTGACCTCTGCAGGTATTGCATGACATGGATGCACTTACACACATGCAGGTAATACACTCATACACATAAAAAAGAAAAATGGAAAGTGCATAAGGACTGGAGAGATGGTTCAGTACTCAGAACATGTACTGCTCTTGCAGATGACATGAGTTTGGTTCCCAGCACCCATGTCAAGTGGCTCACAACTACCTGTAACTTCAGTTCCTGGGAGTTTCAAAGCCTCTGACCTCTTTTCAGACACCTGCACTCACATGCATGTATCTAAAGATAGACAAAAAGCATGTAAGCAACTAACACACACTGTGAGGTTGCTGGTGTGAGAGAGCTATTGATTTAAGTTAAAGTTCTACTGACAAGATGAGAGTGTTGGGAGCTGAACCAGGTGAGAGGCAGCTGTGGGCAGCACACTGAAAGCTGGCAGAGCCCCAGGTGTGCTGTAGAGTGAGAGGCCTTGAGTCAGAATCCACTTATCCCACCATCCTCCATAGGATGGTGGATAATACTTGGACAGTGCACACACAAGAAGCAAAGGAAAAAAAACAGCACCACAGGACACGTGTGGCTTATTCTCCACAGATGTGCATCATGAAAGCACACAGGTGCCCAAGAGGTAGTCACATAAAAGAAAAGCCAGGGGCAGCTGGTTTCCAAGGCCCCACTCCCCAGGAGGGAAGGCAGGCTGAAGGACGCTCCCAGGTAAACAATGGAAAAGAGGGAAGCCAGCCAACCAAGAACCAACTAATCTAGAGTCTGCAGGTGGACTGGGATTGGGAAGAAGGTAGTGGGATCCTGGTCTAGCCTGACCTGGTCCATGATTACATGACATGGACAAATCTCACTGTTCTTATCTACAATGAGGGGTTGTTGTTTTTTTTCCTTAATGATGGGGTGGCTGAGGCAGGGGGAATATAACAAGTTCAAAGCCATCATAAGTTAACACAGTGAGCTCCTGTTTTTAAAAGGGAGAATTTAAATTAAAATAAGTAACAAGCTGGGTATTGTGGTATACATCTGTAATCCCAGCACTCCAAAGCAGAGACAGGATGATCACCCCAAGTGTGAATCCAGCTCGGACTACATAGCAAGTTCCAGGCCAGTCAGGGCTACATGGTTAGACTGTCTCAAAAACAAACAAAAAACTAACTAAATAGATAAATAATAAAAATAGCTAGATTGATGCTTATAATGTGCCCACTGCTGTGTAACATCTCATGAATTCTCATAACAATCCCAAAAAATGTGTGTTAAAAACAAAGAACCAGGGTTGAGGAGGTGGCTCAGCGGGTAAAAGTTCGCTACACAAATATGAGAACCCGAGTTCAGATCCCCAGCACCTAGTACTGGAGGGTAGGAGATAGGAGGATCCCCGGGGCTTGCTGGCCAACCAGCCTAGCCAAACTGCAAGTGTCAGGTTCAGTGAGAGACCACGTCTCAAGGGAATGAGGCAGAGAGCGCTAGAGGAGGACCCCGACTTCCTCCTCTGGCCTCCATATGGGCCCACATGGGTGTACACACCCACACCCAATGAAGAATTGCAGCTCAGAGAAACCTGAAAAGCCTGTGCTCACTGGGCAGACAGCAGTGCAGTGGGCACTCTGCATCGACTCCCGTGCTCTCACAATGCTCTAGGAAGGGGTATTACTATTCTCAGCTGAGGAAACAGGCACATATACAACTTGTCCTCATCACATAGGCTTCAGACACAAGCTGGATCATTTCAAAACTCCAACATAACAATTTTCTACAGCCAGTGGACCAATGTTGGTGACTAGAAATAAGGGCATTTTACACTGCAATTCTGTTTATTTTCTATCAAAACTAGGAGTTCTTGCAACTCTAGGCTCAAATGCCCACATGATTACTGCTGGTTGGACCTAAAGAGCGGCTGTTCCAGGCCCCTCAGCCTCCACGCACACGTGACCAATGTCCTCCATTTGCACCCCTGCCTGCCACTGAAGGTCTCTGACTTTGCCACTCCCAACAAGGGCAGCCGAAATCCCCTTAGCGTGTTCTTGTAAATACGGTGATAAAATAAGAACTTGCAAACTTTTATAAAGACTAAAACCCAAGCTCCCAAAACTCTGGCTAATAGCTGGTGGAAGGCCAGATATCAGGAGAGGACTGCTGGAGTAGCCCGATAAGCAGAAACCAAGTGGCCGGAGGCAGAAGAAACAATAAGGCTAGGCTGAGGGTGCTGGGAGGCAAGGCCACACTGGAGACCCAGGCAGAATCCACCTCTTGGGGGGCCTCCTCTTACCTGCTCGTAGTTTATGAACATGGCCGTCTCAAAACTGCTGGCCGCCCACTTTAGGAGGTTCGCCGACTGCTCTGGAGTCATGTAAACTAGCACACATTCAGTTATCAGGAGTGTTGGCAATCTTAAGGAAAAAGAAAGGCAAATAAGCGTGTTTTCATCAAGTCAAGACATCGACTAATGCAAACTGACAGACTGGCAGGTCATGTTCAGGACATCCAGACACAGCGAGTATAGCATGATCAAGGTCTGGTACAACTGTCAAAAGTCATAACACTAAAAAGGTGAGCAATGAGCAGGGGCGAGTGTGCCTCATGAAATCAAGTTCATGTGGTGGACTGGAGGAAAAGTAATATATACTCTGCTGTTGCACCCGCTCTCTGGGGACAACTGAACCCTGCAAAACTTTCCCATCCCACAGTTTATTTTCCTGCCCTGGAACTGGGGGACTCAGGCCCTTGCTCTAGCCAGAGATCCAATGGAAATCACGCCCACTGGTGTGTGCTCTCATGAACCCCAGGTAGCCAGGTTAGAGGAAGAGAATGAGGCATCCCAGCTAGGCAATCAGAGCCATCTCTTACACTGGACAGGTGGGCCTGTAAGTCCTAATGAGGTTAACATGATTGGTGAGTCTAGGCTGAAGATGTCTACAAGAGCTTCAACATGCAGAGACGATAGCCATCACTTTAATGGCAGATAAGCTTTAAAACCATGGAGCCAGGTGTGGTAGTATATGCCTTGAATCCCAGGTGGATCTCTATGAATTGAGTTGGAAGCCAGCCTGGTCTACATAGCAAGTTCCAGGCCAGCTAGAGCTATAGGAAGCCTTAGTTCCCCACTTGCCTCCCTCCATCTCCGGAGCTCATCCATGTTTGCATCATCCTTACTTCCTCCATCTTACTCAAGACAATACGGGTCTTTCTCTACCTCATGGATGGTTAAGCTCAGTCCAGGATCTGCATCCCCCATATCTCCCCCAGGCACTTATACATGGACCATTTTCCAAGTTGCTTTGCCTTTGGTTTAATTTTTAAAATGATATTCCCTTCACCATGTCTTCCCCTCATCTGTCCTCCTTGTATACTAACCTCAAACATTCACCCCAATGCCATTTCCATCTGTGTAGACAGACACCTCCCACTACATGTTTAACACCAGTCTTGTTTATTTGGTTTTGGTTTTTTTTGAGACAGGGTCTCCCTGTAGCCCCAGGAACTCACTATGTAGACCAGGCTGGCCTTGAACTCACAGAGATCCGCCTACCTCTGCCTCCCAAGTGCTGGGATCAAAGGCGTGCGCCACCACGCCCAGCTAACACCATTCTTTAACTAGCATTATGACTCTAAACATACACATCACTCCCCTCTTCCCGGAGAAATCATTCTCAAGATATAGTATGGACTCTTCTGGCCCAATTTATGCATGCAATTAGGAAAATATAGTATGCTGAAGGTTTGGGCTTTTCACATTTGCTATCCACTGTGGTTATCATTCTGCAACCTGATTTTTTTTACTGAACGTTAGATTCAGAGCTCTTACCACGCTGGTCTGAGATGTACTTTGTATTTCACTGATCCAGTTCCTGCTGGTAGGCATGTCCAGTTTCTGCTACTCTACTTGCTGTAATGGATACCCAGCTTATGTACTCATCAAGACCTTCTCTGGGAACATACCAGAAGTGGAACTTATATGTTCCCTGGTACACAAGGCTCCAGCTCTACTAGACACTGCCCTTGCTCTCACAGTGGCTTGTAGCCAGTTCCCTTCCACTTGGTGAGTCACTGGTATAGCCCATTCCCTACCACTCATATCCTTATCATACTTCATACTGTCAGACTTACACATTTTTGCCACCATGGCAGGAGAAAAACAGAATTCCACCTGATGACTACTGAATTTTGTAGCCTCGTAAGACATTCCTACATCCTATGTTCTGATACTATGTCATGTTCATTTTCTTCTTGGAGCAGCCTGGCATCTGTCTTTTCCCATGTTCTACACCCTAGATATTAGTTTTCTTTATAATTACAGGGCCTCTCACACTCTGTTTACTGTATTAGGTGCCAGTATTTCTTAAAGAAATTAAAGGGGATTCTGGTGTGAAAGCGGATTTGACAAAAAGCATTGCTTAGAAAAACTACCCCACTCAGCAATGACACAACACAATGTAAAGGTGGGAGACAGGTCTCGGGCTGTACTGGATGACCATATCTCATAACTAGCATGAAATCACAAATGCATTGAGAGGTTAAAAGAAATCTCACTGTGTATTCATGTTACATTTCTTTAGTTTCTCTTCCAGTTCAGAGAGGTCTCGGAGATCTGCTCCAATGATGGCATATCTCTTAGAATCCAGTACATGTCCATCTGCAAATATAAGAAGAGATTCTTGTTTCAACAGAACCTCAATACCAGTTTTAATGGATTTGGCTTTTTCAAAATTAAAAGAAACTGTTTTGTACCATTAAACACACACACACACACACACACACACACACACACACACACACTCAGAGGCTGGGAAAATGGCTCAGTGGGTAAGAGGACTTGCTGTGCAAGCATGAGGTCCTGAGTTTGGATATTCAGCACTACATAAAAAGCCAGGCATAGCTGGATACTGCGGGGTGGAGACAGGTAGATCAGAGCCTGCAGGCCAGACAATCTAGGCAGAACAGTCAGCTACACGTTCAGTGAAAGGCCCTGTTCGAAGGGAGTAAGGTGGAGACAGAGAACATAACACCCAGTGCCCTCTACTGGCCTCAAGGGCGTACACATCAGCAAGCACATGCTCACATGTGCAAGTGCATCACACACACACACACACATGAGCAAGTGCATCACACACACACAAACATACATGCTCATTGTTAAAAAGAAAACTGTGTAATCAGGAGGGTGAAAATGAACCTAAATCTCATCTTCTACAGGCATTAGCAGACAAAACTGCAGCTTGCTTTCCTCTATTTAAGCTTATAAAGACACAGACACACATAGATATCTGAGAAAAGAAAATGAGACCACTTGATACCTGCTCTAGAAGCCACTTTTCTATCTAACAGCAGCATGAAAAATGTCTTTTTCTGGTTTGCTTTCTTTTTATTTATTTTTTTATTTTATGTGTATGAGTGTATTGCTTGCATGTACGTAAGTACACTCATGCCATGCAATGCCCGAGGAGATGAAAAGAGGGTGTGGGATCCTGTGGAATTGGAATTAGGACAGTTGTTAGCCGCCATATGGGTGCTGAGAATCGAACCTGGGTCCTCTGCAAATGCAGCCAGTACTCTTAACCACTGAGCCATCTCTCTAGCCCCTTGTTTTGCTAAGGTCTTACTATGGTTTCTCCTGCCTCAGTTTGAAATGTAGCTGGGACCACAGACCTGCAGCACCATGCCCAGCCTAGTGACATCATTTTCTATAATGCTTTCATAACATTCCACCGAAAACAAAAATCATAACTTATTCAGTCAATCCCTCACTATTGCACGGATAGTATTTCCAAATTTTCTCCATCTTAGGTACTACAACGAGCATCCTGGCACACATGCTGATAAAGTACCGGTTAACCATTTCTTTAAAGCACACTAATGGGAATGGAATTAAGAAGTCAAAGACTAAGCCTATTTAAATAACAGTACCCATTGGCAGATGCTTTTCTAAACACTACACTAATTTGTGGTAAGTAGCTTATGTATGGATATATTTACAAATAAATGAGAACACTAGTTTTCAGATATTCCACAGAGGTAAGATGAGGTAGGGCACGCGGTGGTTCACAAGCTTCGAGACCATCAGAATTATCCTGAGTATGAGTCCCTAGAGCTTTCCACAGCAGACATTTGCATTTCTAACACATTCCCAGATGGTACTGACAGTAGGTACTGATGCAGTGAGTCTGGGTACTTACAGAGTCACTGGTACAAGTGAAACTGATCCTGGAAATAAAGACCAAGACAGGTCCAGAGGAGAATCGATCTAGTCAGGATGTATACACTTGTGTGTACCTAGTAATATTCTCTCTCTCTGTCTGCCCCCTCCTCACTACATAGCCCTGCCTGGCCTGGAATTCACCATGTAGAGGAGCCTGGCCTTGAATTCATAGAAATCTGCCTACCTCTGCCTTCCAAGTGCTAAGACTAAAAATGTGCACTATCATACCTGGCCTTGTTCTTTTTTAAAACAAGGTTTGATATTTAGTCTAGGCCAACTTTGAACTCACAGCAATCCACATGCTTCAGGTGTTTGAGTGCTGGCATGACAGGAATGTACCACCATACCCACTCAATTATCTTTAAAGGAGAGAAAACAAGACTGTCTACCACAGGCCATATTTAGTTTCCTCAATGGTACAAGCCATGGTGGAGCTGAAACACACACAGACATCCTGAATCACTGCTACTGAATCAGATTCTTTGGCTCTGAGAACCCTTGGCAGAAAGTTCTGAAATAACAGTGCCATGTAGGAGACTCTGCATTCAATCCCCAGTACTGGGAAAAAAAACTATAGAGTGTAAACACATTCTCCCTTACCATCTTTATCAGTCCATTTGGCTGATTCAAACACGATGGCTAAAAGAAATACCTCCTGGGAGCCTCTTCGATATCAGGAAAGCAATAAAGGCCAAACTAGGAACCCACAGACCACCCTAGTGGTGGAAACACGCAACCAAGGAGTTCAGGAGAGACGAATCTTACTAGCTAGTATCTAAACAGCATAAAGCTGCAAACCATGATTACTCCTCTAAGACAGTACAAAGACAGCAGAGGTAAAGGCAAACAGTAACATGAGGCTGTAGCCCCAGCCCTGCCAAGGAGTCACTCCACACAAGAGGCAGGAATCCCTGGACAACATGACCTTGAGGCCCCTTGACATGACAGAATCTGGAACAGCACACACCAGCATCACATTCAGTTGCTCCTTTTAAGTCAGAACTACACCAGCTGTTTAGAAACAGGAGCCCCATTATATGTCCTCAAAGGAAGCCCCTTCATCATTTCACAGGAAACAACTGCACCTGTGGGGGACATAGGCTCAGAGCAAGTTCCAGAGGAGTTTTATTATTCTGAGAAAAAAATCACTTTAAAAATATTAGCACTGGCCAGAGACCATGGAAACCACTGAAACACTGTGTAAACTGAAGGGCTTTCAAGAGATAATGAGAAAAACTACTAACATGGGAATCATAATTCCTTTCCTTCTAGATTTTTTGATAAGAGAACATGGAAGAAGGTTCAAAATGTTCTGTGTGCTACTTAAAGAGGGCTCCCTGAAAGAACGGACATACCCAATTCTGGGCAAAGTCAACTAACATTAAAACTCACATTGGGTAAGATGGTATAAGCCTGTAATCCTAGTCCTCGATGTGGAAGCAGGAAGATTAGGAGTTGAAGGTCAGCCTTAGCTACATAATGAGTTTGAGGCCAGCCTGGACTACATGAGACCCTGTCTCATAAAACCAAAAATAAATAAGTAATTAAAAATAAAACCTATGTGGGGCTAGAGAGGTGGCTCAGAGGTTAAGGGTGTACACAGTCTTGTAGAGGACCAGAGTTCAGTTTCCAGCACCTGTATCAGGCTCACAGCTGCCTGTAACTCCAGCTCCAAGGGATGAGGTGCTTCTAACCTCTGTAGACATGTGCACATACCCAAATGCAGACCCACAAACATAGGCATAATGTAAATTAAATCTAAAAAAAAACTTATGCATGGCTTCTGGTAATTCTATAACCAACATTCCTTTAGAGAATTGGTTTCTATGGGGTTTTCTGAGGGAAAAGAAGCCTTGAAAATACCATCAATTATTAGGTTTAAAAATTAAGAGCCTGGCTGGGCATGGTGGTACACGCATTTAGTCCCAGCACTTGGGAGGCAGAGGCAGGCAGCTCTCTGTGAGTTCGAGGCCAGCCTAGTCTACATAGTGAGTTTCAGGCCAGCTGGGGCCAAAGGGAGATCCTGTCTCAAAAAAACAGACCCCCCCCAAAAAAAAATAAGAAACTAGGCTGGAGAGCTGGCTCAGTGGTTAAGAGCACTGATTGCTCTTACAGAGGATCTGGGTTCAATTCCCAGAACCCACATGGTGGCTAACAACCATCTGTAACTCTAGTTCTAGGGGAATCCGACACTCTCTTCTGACCTCTGCAGGCACTGCAAGCCACCGATGCACTTACATGCATGCAGGCAATACATTCCTACACATAAAAAAATAATAAAATATTTTTTTAAATTAAGAACCAACTTATATGTGGCCAGAGTGAAAGATAGCTATGAACGTCCTAATTACACAGGCTTAGATTATTCTTCAGTTTAAGTAGTGGTTCTCAACCAGGGCGACTTCACCACGAAGGAGCATGTGGCAATGTCTAAAGACATGTTTGGTTGTCAGGACTGAGGGGTGTGTGTCAGCAGCATTCTATGTGTAAGGCTCCCTACAGCAGAGTCAGACCCTAAATGCTAATGATGTGGACACTGAGAAAACCTGCAAGAGAGAGATATAGAAACTCAAGATCCATTAGTCAGAATGAAAACTGCTCTAAGTCCTTAAATAGCCTGTAGTCCTAGCTACAGGAGGCTGAGGTAAAAAGACTGCTTGAGCCCAGGAGTTTGAGACCAGCCTGGACAACATGGCCAGACTCCATCTCCAACAAAAAAAAACATGATAAGAAACAACCACTAAGTGGTCCTAATATACTCTATGATGGAGAAATTAAAATATATTGTGGCCTTTGCAAAGATCACAAAACAACAACAAAACCCTCTTTGAAGTGAATTTACAGCAGTATGGACTCCGGTTTCAAATAGACTTGATGTCACATTTCAACTAGGTTACATGTAGCTCTGGGCAAGTGACATAACCACTTGACTGCCATTCTTTCAATCATAAAATGAAGATACTGCTGAACTCAAATGACTACTTGGTATTGAAGGCAATGTTAAAGTGTAAGTTGTGGGACCCTCCCACTATCCCAAGGTGCCCTGGGGTGGCACGGCAAGTTCACAGAGATGAAGCAGAGTATTCTCAATTTCTACAGGAAGCACAGAGATACTTAACATCAGTTAAATGTAAGCAAACTACTAGGTCAAAATACAGTTTCAAGATCATATTTCTCTGGTTTCCTTTCACACTTCGAGAAGCTAAGCTCTCAGGTGCTGCTGTGAGTTAAAAACAAATGCCGGGTGTCAATGTGGACAGTATGACCAACACAACTGCAAGGTGATGTTGTAAGGTGTCCCACACAGGCACAAATCTTACTACTAATTACAGTGATTTAAGAGAAAAAGGCCAGGTATGATAGCACACACCTTTAATCCCAGCACTTGGGAGGCAGAGGCAGAGGCAGAGGCAGGCAATCTCTGTGGGTTTAAGGCA